CCTCCCCACGGAACAGGCCCCCACCGGCCCCTCTGACCACTCTCCCTGCCCCCAAAGATCCCCCCTCCCCCCTCCCACTGACCCCTCTCCCCGCACTGACCACTCTCCCTCCTTCTCAGTAAGCTCTCCCTTCCACGATCCCTGCCCTCCCCCCCGCCCGACCACGGAGCACCCTTCCCCACCCAAGGATCCCTCTCTCCCCCTCACTGGCCATTCTCCTTCCCCACTCCCTGAGTTCCCCCCCCCCCGCACCGATCGCTGTCTCCCCACCAAGGAGCCCTCCCTTCCCCACACTGATCACTCTCCTCCCCAACAGAGTCCCACCCCCCCACCCCCACCCCCGTGATTCTCCTCCCATCAAGGAGCACTCGCCTCCCTCACTTGACCGCCCCCACTGATCACTCTCCCTCGACACCACGGAACCCTCTCTTCCACACTTATGTCACTACCCCACGCCCACCCCTAGCCCTTTTCCCTCCTCTGGGAATCTAGTCCCGCTCCACCAACTCACGCACCACTTCCTCCCCCTCATCCACATCTCCTCCGTAGAACTCCTCCCCTACCGAGTCCCTTTCCCTCCACTGAGCTCACTTTGTCCCTAGCTGAACCCCCTCCCTGTCACCGGCACCCCTTTAACCCCACTCCGCCACCCCACCCCACCCCCGCCCAGCCCACTGTCTCCCTAGCTGACTGAGTCCCTGTCACCGCGCCCCTCCTCCAGGACCAAGGAGCGGCCCCCGCGCGCCCGGCCGGCCAGCACCTCCCCGTCCCCGGGCGCGCACGGCAGGCACGGCGGCCCGGAGGGGAAGAGCTCGTCGCGCAGCCCGGGCCCCCACCCGCGCTCGTGGAGCTCCAGCCGCTCTCCCTCCAAGTCCCGCTCGCGCTCTGCGGAGAAGAGGACCCGCAGCCCCAGCCGCTCGCCGTCGCCCAAGAAAACCCTGGGCCGGTAAGTCCGGACCCGGGGTCCCGCCGGGCGCAGGGGTGGCGGCGGGGCCGGGCCCGGAGGGTACCCGCCGGGCCGCGTCGCTCACCTCGGCCGGGCCCGCAGGGACAAGGACGGCGAGGGCCGCGCGAGGCACGCCGAGGCCGAGGCCGCCCGCGCCCGGCGCCGCTCCCGCAGCTACTCGCCCATCCGCAAGCGGCGCCGGGACTCGCCCAGCTTCATGGAGCCACGGCGCATCACCAGGTACGGAGGGGCCCGGCCGGGCCCGCAGGGACCTCCTGGGGGACGCACTGAACCGGGTGCAGGCAGGGGAGGTGGGGTTCAGGAGAGGGAAGAGGGCCTGGTGAGGGCTAGAGGCCCCTGGAGGATGAGAGAGGCTAGAACTGGGGGTGCTGGGGAGGGTGGGACTCAGAGGCAGGGGTCTGAAGGCCCACGGAGGGGAGGGGGCTGTGTACTTGGGTCTGAGTGGGCAGCAGCAAGCATGGAGTTCAGCTCCAGAAGATTCCAGCCATCCTCCTGGAGCCCCTCCCTCTTCTCCGTGCTCCCTACATCCATCTCCTGGCAATGATGTCTCCTTTTCTCCTTCATCTCAAGGTCCAGCCTGCCGAGTGGCCTGTGGCCGGCCTGGGGGCCGAGTGGACCCCCTCCCCACAGGCTGCAGGGGAGATGCCCATGTGAGCTGATCTGGCTCTGTTCAGCTGTCATCTGTCTGCCTCTCATGTTGTCACTAACTTCACTCCGCTCACCTCCCAGCGCAACCCCCCCCACCGGGGGGGGGGGGCGGAATTCGGAGGAGGGGGCACCAGCAGCCTGCTCTCTGGGGCAGCTGTGGGAGGGCCTATCCCTTCCACTCTCCCCTCCCCCCACCCCAGTCCAATGGGGCTGTGGGGAGTGTGTGGCAGATATGGCAGAAGCCACCTCAGAGAGCTTCTCTGCCAGGACTGGAGGGTGTGGGCCTAGGTCTCCCCATGAAATTATATTGTGTTTGTGGAAACCAGTCCGAAGCCCTAGACCCCTGACTTGGGATCGAGGGCTACAGGCAAAATTCTGAGCCCAGCTCTGCCACAGACCCTGCTGGGCAGCCTTTAGGAGATTGGTGTACCCCTCTGGGTCTGGGTGTGCATGTCTGAACAATAAGCAGAGCTCCCTGAGCATCTTTTCAGCTCTAACATGGACTGATTCTCAAATTAGCCCTTCCAAGTCCTTGGTGATGCAGATTGTGGAGGGAGGAGAGGGCATCGCCTCCTCCCCTCAGCCCAGAGCTAGAGGCCAGATGGCCAGGCTTGGGACACCCCCTAGACAGGCCACACACCTCACCCATATGCGGAGGGCCCTAGATACCTGGAGCCCTGCACCTTCCACCTGGCACCCCCCTCAGCCCCTCTCCCAGGCTGCCTCCTCCTCCCACTAACGTACACCTGTTTTCTTCCTCAGAATTAACCCCACGCCATGGGGCACTGTTGCCCCCTTAACCACTCTCTTTTCTTTTCTCTGGGTCACAGCCTCCTGGCTTCAAACTAACTCCGGGCCGGCGGGAGGTAGCTGAGTGAGAAGGGGCCAGCGGGACTGGGGGTGGGGTTGGGGGGGCATGGGCATGGGCAGCAATGGCCAGGGCTCTCCTCCTTGTTCCCTTGAAGTGACCCGACAAACCGAAACCCTCAATTCTGTGGGGACCAGAGAAGCAGGGCTGGGCCTTATCCACAACCCTTTCCATGCCCAGAAACCACTGCCTAGCTTGGTTGATGTGAGTTGTCTGTATTTAAAAGTTTCATTTATTCAACAAATATTTATTGAGCACCTTCTCGGGCCAAGCAGAGACTTGGTCTCCTTTCTCTGAAGACAAGTGAGGAAAAACAAAATGACCAACAGGAAATTGGCAAGAGACCACTGACTGTCCAGTCCTTTCGGGGCAGGGGACACTCCAAGGCCAGAGGTCAGGGGAAACTGAGGCAGGGAAGCCCTGGCCACTGCTGGGGAAGGGCTCAGGGCCTGAGTGAGGGCCCAAGACAGAGCTCAGGGACCCGAATGGCCTGTAATCAGCTTTTCCCTCCCGGCAGTGCCCGAAAGCGTCCCATCCCCTACTACCGGCCCAGCCCCTCGTCCTCCTCCAGCTGCCTGAGCAGTGACTACTCAAGCCGGAGCCCCAGCCGCAGCCCCAGCCCGGGCCACAGCCACGGAAGCTACAGCAGCCGCAGCCGCGGCACCCGCAGCCGCACCCGCAGCCCCTCCCGGACCCCCAGTCCCAGCTACCACAGCCGGAGCAGCTCAGAGAGTGGGGGCTTCTGAGCCCAGATAGACCCAGCTTGGTGCCCCCTGGCATAGGGAAAGGCGAGGGGTCAGGCCCCAGGACCTGTGAGGGGGCCTGCACCCCACTGCTACAAAGAGGTCCCCGGGCCAGGGAAGACCTTGAGGGTGGGCGCCCTGCAGACGAGGAGGAGCTGGGTTCTGCTGCTTTTGGAGGGTCCCCACCCCCACCTCCTGCCTGCCCACCATGTCCAGGGAACAAAGAGCCGTTGCGAACACAGGGATCACCCTGTCCCCCTTCCTGCTTGATGCCAGCTCACCAGGCTGGGGACAGCTCAGTGGACCCAGGGACACCTTGGAAGGTGCCAGACCTGGGAGCCTCCTCTCCCCTCTCCACAGGGCCCTCGGCTCCTCTCTATCAATGGGTAGACAAGGAGGTGGGAAGGCAAGCAGGATCTAAGTTAGCCAGAAGGAAGAATGGTCTAACCCTTGGTGCATCACCATCCAAGCTGGGGAGCTGCTTCCTTCTGAATTGGCTGCATGATCCTGGCTGAGGGCAGGGCGGGAGGCCGGCTCCACAGCCTCCCCCAGCCCCTCCCCTGGCCCAGGAGTACCCAGACCCACTAGGTGGGCCCCTAAGCCCCAGCCTGAGGAGCCAGGGAGCTCACTCTTGGTCCCACCTCTTCTCTCCAGGCCAGGCCTTCCCCTTCAGCCCTCACCCCATGCCCTGAGCCAAGGCCACAGCTGCCAGGCCTTCTGCATGACAAGAGGTGGGACATTGGGACAACACGGGCATCTGACCTTGAGGTCAAAAGGGGTTCAGGTCAGGAGGTGGGAGGGAGAAGGGGTAGATGGAAGAAGAGCCTGTGAGGAGCAGGGGAGAGCAATGCAGTCCGATGACCGAGCAAGCCCTGGTGTCCCAGTGTGCCCTATGTCTGGGACATAGGCCCGATGGCAGCAAAGGGTCACCGGCATGGGATAACATGCACTTCGGGGCCTGCCCAAGGGAGCACTTCCTTCTCGGGGTTTGGTGGGGAGGTGGTCAGTGGAGGCTACCCAGAGAGGAGTGCTAGAGCCCTTTGAAGAAAGGGTTAGGGTTAGATCTAGACTGAGGGCCTTGGCCTGGGGCATCGATGGGGAAGCAGTGGCCCCCCCAGCCCTCTTCTGCTGCTCCCAGCCCACTCCTCCTGGGGCCCTCAGGGATCTCACAAAGTCTTCCTTGGCCCAACAGGGCACCTGCCCTGGGCTCCCATGGGGGGAGGGGTCTGGGGTCTGGTCCGGGTTCCCCCTCTATTTCCCCCTCCCTCTTTCTCCGCGGTGCGGATAAAAATTGGACTCTAATAAAACACTTGGTGCCCGGATGACAGGTGGTGAGACCAGGCCTCTGTGGATTTGGGCACCTGGGGAGTGTGGGGAGGGCATAAGGTCCTGGGGTCCTTCCCTCCGAGAAGTGGGAGGGGCGCAGACTCCACCCCAGAGAGAAGATCTGGCACCAACAAGCCAGAGCCCAGTGTGTCCATCCCCCTGCCTCAGTGCAGGAGCAGAGCATGCAGCTCAGTGGGGAGGAAAACAGGGACCCAGGAAGACTTTCCTTTCAGCCTGGAGACTCTGGGGGCTTTGAACATCCCCACTTCCCTCAACCCCCACGCCCCACCTAGCTTCCTCTCCCATCATTGTCCTTGACTCCAATACACCCCAGTCCAGCTGACCTGCCTCCTTGGGCCCTCCATGCATGACCTCTCCACCACCAAAGGTTCCGGTGAGCTCATGGTTCAAGACCTAGCTCAGCTGCCTCCTACTCCAAGGAGGCTTCCTGGTCGCCAGCTGCAGTGGCCACTCTCACCTCTGGGTCTCTCCCTCTCTTCCGGGTCTATACCTGCCTTTAGCGTCCCAAGCTCTTGTACGGCTTATTTGTGGGCATGTCCATCTGTCCCTAAATCTGTGAGTTTCTGGAGCCCAGGCCATGCCTTCTTGGCCTCTGCATCCCATCCCCCAAATAGGCACCCTTGAGATGTCTGTCAAATGAGTAAACAAGTGAACCGGGGAGCCAGGGAGTGAGCGGGTCCAGAAGCCTTGGGGGAGGGGAGGGACCAAAGGCAAGGTGTGGTGGTGGCAGATAGACACTAGAGGGCAACAGAGAGGAAGAAAATTGCCTGTCAGCACAGAACAGGCCGGAATGGAGAGCCCTGGGCGGAGGTTCTATGTCAGCCTGGAAACCCAAAGGTCCTGTCCTCAGCGCCCATCCTGGCTACTTGGAGAAGCAGTGTCCAATTCCTGAGGAAGGACTGGGAGAGTACCAAGCCCCTGCCCTCCCACAGACTGAGGGTTCAGCCTGAACTCTGCCCTAGACCTTGGGAAAAGGGGAAAACTACCTCCAGGAAGGCAAGCAGGAAAACAGGAAACTCCAATTCTGCATCTGGCAGCCAGGGGTGGGGGGGGGGGATGTGTGCATGGGGGAACCTTCCCAGGATGTGGGCCTTTGGGGTGTCATAGGCAGGTCCTCTCCTGGTGTCTCTGCAGATGGGGGCCTCGGGGACCCTTCTGTCCTTACCCTCCCAATACACACAGCAGCCGGGAGTCAGGCTGGGCAGGGCTTCCTGTGTCCTGTTAGATATTTTCTCTTCTCCTTAATTGGTTTCCTGCAGCCCCAGACCCAGGGTAGCAAGTCAGTGCACACACCCAGTCTGGGTGTCCCAGGGAGCATCTCCCATCGCCTGCCTCTCTGAGATGCTCTTGGAAGCCCCCTGGCCTCCCACCGGCCAGTGAGTGAATATGCTGAGGGCATATTCAGCAAACCTGCCCTACCACCAGACACTTGCCCTTCCTTCTCCAGGCCCCTCACCTCTCAAGGACAACCAAGACACGAGAGTGCTCTAGCCATAGGGCCTCCCACCTCCACAGCCACCACAGGGGATGCCAGGTCCTCCCTCACCACCTCCCTCCACTCACCATACACACACTCCTCCAGGAGTATTAGATGGCAGAGTGGGCGGTGCAGACGGCCGGGGGTGGGGGGAGTGAGAGCGAGTGGAGGAGAAACTGTTGATTCACTATGCTGGAAGGAGCCTTCGAGAACATCCAGTCCAATGGTCTCATTGTACAGATGAAGAAAATGAGTCACGGGAGCTGGCTGCTGGCCAAGGTCACAGAGCCAGAGACAAGCAGGTCCCCAGACTCCCAAGCTAGACAGATTCTTTCTGCTAGACAGTGGGGCGGGGGGGGAGGCCAGCCCTCCCCACACGGCCCCTCCTTGGCCCCCCTTTAGTGGTGAGGGGGTGAGGTGACACCCAAGACTAGCCAGAAGCCTAGGGGATGGGCAGGCTGAAGAGGGACTCCCAGAGAGGCAGTGTCTAGATGCTTCCAGAAAGACCTTGTGCCCCCCACCCCCACGTGCTCTAATTACTGCTGCCCACATTTTTAATTCCCAGTAAACCCAGTGACTGGCGCAATCCATCAGCTGTCAGGTCTCTCCAGGGAGCTCGGGCAGCTGCCTGAAGACTCTCGCGTTTTCTCTGAGGCTGAGCCAGGGAGGGAGGGGCTGGCTCAGCCGCAGTTGGCAAAGGCCTGTCAAAGGTGTGGCTACTGTGGCCAAGGCCTGGCGCTCACTGCCAGACAAGGAGGCTGGGAGGCTGGTCTCGGGCTGCCGCAGAGTACCGCAGACTGTGGGGCTAGGGACGAGGAGAGGGGACCCTCTGATTAAGGAATCCCAGACCCAAGCTTGCCTCCCCCATCACTGCACCTGTGGCTACTGGGAAATCCCTGGGGGTGGAGTTGTCTTCTTAATGCCAGAAATACTAGCCCTGGCAGCTCAGTGCCCAGAATGATAGAGTGGAAGACTGTCAAAGAACGCTTCGGCAGGTGGGCAAGTGGGGGCTGACTTCCAGCCCTTGCTCCTCTTGCCCTGTGCCTGAGCAACCGGGGTGCGACCTCCGGGAAGGGCGCATGGTCAGGGCTGGAAGGGACTCCGGAGAGGCTGGCCCAACCTTCCCTGCCCCTTGGCCGCACACCTCCCCCTGCGCCCACCAGCCCAGAGCCCACAGCCCACCCTGGACTGCTTAGGAAGTCCCTCCCCTGCTCAAAGAGAGTCAGGACGCTTGAGTTCCGATCCCTCCACCCGCTTACCAACTTTGTGACCTTGGGGCAGTTCCAGCTCAGTTTTCTCATCTCAGAAATGGGACTCTGAGAAGATACCTAGACCTGCCATAAAGTGCATACAACTGCGTGATTCTTATTAGCCTAAGTAAGTCTCAGTACCCAAAATTAAAGGCCCTCTTTCCTTAATAAAGGTGAACACTTAACTGAGCACCAAGCACTCCCCACACATTATTGCATTTGAGATTCACCACAACCCCAAAAGATGGGTGTGTTATTACTACCCACGTTTTGCAGATGGGGACAGCGGGCTCAAGGAGGTCACCAGGCCGGTGAACAGCAGCATCCGAGTTCAAGCCCAGCCTGTCTGACCCCAAAAGCCAGTTTTTCCTGCAACCCCACCCCCTCTTGCCACCACCCAGAGCCACCCATGTTCCCTCCCTTGTGACTGACAAGGTCCCTCAAGAAGCGACCCACTGAAGATGGATATGAAGTCTCAGTCCTGCCTCCCCCACCCACCATGGGCAGAGTGCTGGGAGCTGTTGGGCCCTGGTTTGCACAACTTCCTGGCTGGGGCAGCAGGAGCACCCTCCCTGCCCTGGCTTCAGGCAAGATGCAGAGAGCTACTAAGGGAGCCTCTGTCTACAAAGGGTTGGCAGGCAAGGCAGCCCGGCAGCCCCCACCCAAAGCGTGGCTGGGCCTGGCAGGACCACACTTGAAAGCATCCATGACCACACCTGACAGCTCCTGTAGGGTGGGGCTCCTGGACTCCAGTCTGGGCCAAGGTGGGCAAGCAGAGGCGGATGAGAGCCCTCCCTGGCTCCTGACCTCACCTCGACTTTATAGAGCTGGGAATGGGTGGTGTTGGAAGTGCCAGGGAGCCAAGACCTGGGGCTTGCTGAAGCTGAGACCCTTGGGGTGGGGCGGGGGGGGGCGCCAGTAGTTCCCAA